CCCCCCCCCCCCCCCCCCCCCCCCCAAAACAAACAAACTTTGGAAACAATTACGAACTGCTTGAATATTGTACTTACCTGAATCCAAGGTGACTTTGAATTTCATATGACCCCCCCCACCATCAGTACATAGATTCTAGACATGGGACATTTTATAAATTTGTTATAATTTTCCATGTATAGGGGCACAGAACACATGCTTATGCCAGCCCCTGCCTGGCCACACAGCAGCTGTTGCAGGGGCAACCATTCCAGCTGGCTTCCAGAGCCATGGCTGGAGCTGTAGCTGCTGCTGCTACTGCTGCTGCATGGTTCAAGTATTAACTGTAATATTGTGCTTCTAATTCTTTTTCTTGTGAAAGAAATGGTCTCTCATCACTTTAGCGAATTATTAAACTGGCACTCAGAAATATGTATGGATTCAGGGTTCAGCTAATTAAGCTGGCACATGAGAAAACTTGCCATGATCGATAGAAGTTGCCCATTCTGTGCGACTTACATAATATACCAGTGTAGGTATGAAAGCTTGTTGAAATTCTGATTTACAGAAGCTTTGTAAAATCTTTTTATAATTATTAACTTCTTTTTGAAAGCTTAGATGGACTGGTTTCAAATTCCGAAGAGGGTATCATATTAAAATTCTTGGGTTAGTTGGCTTTCATTTTAGACAAAAAAAAATCATGGAGTGAGTAGAATTACTGAGGATTTTAGCTAAGTTTGGGGTTTATTTGTTTTGATTTGGATCTTTTAATAAGAGTACTTCAACTTTTTGATTATTTTATATTGTCTGCTTGTAAAATATCCTTCTAAAAAAATAATTAAAAAAATTATTTTTTCTCTCTTCCAGCTGGGTTGAAAATTTTGGACATGAAGGACTTGGTTTGTTGCTAGATGTACTGGAAAGACTGGTTGAAGCAAAACAGTAAGGATGCTTTATAATAAAAATTGTCAGATTTTTACTATTCCTAATTTGTAATAACTGAAATTTTCAATTCAATTCAGTCAGGACAAAGTTGTGAAGAGATGTCAGCATAAGGTCATACAGTGTTTGAAGGCCTTCATGAATAATAAGGTATGTGATTTCAAGGTTATATTTGAGTTCGTTATATTATGATTTAGATAACTGGGTTGCTAAGGTTCAACTGGAATTACTTTAATTATGTAAATTACTTTTAAATATAGTATCTTAAGGAAATTGATGTGTTATTTATATTTAAAAGAAAACATTTTCAGTTACATTTGGTATTTAATCTTGGCAACTTGGCATACAGATTAAGTTTGGTGTTTCTTATTGCTTGAGTGGCAAGCTTTGTGGCGGGTGCAGAGATCCCACCTCAGGAACACAGCTGGGTATTTGTATTCCTCCGCTGTTTCCACCACGTGAGGCGGGCCAGTAGGGGGTGCTCCTGCGTCGAGCCACCCACCTCCCTGCGCCCGACCACCTTCCAGGCTCCGAATGCCTCCCTAGGGGCGCCTTATGTCCGGCCGACCCCTCTCCTGGAGCACACTCGCTAGTCTGGGGGTAACGTGCCGCCACCACCCCAAGAATGGACTGTCTCGCGGCCCTGTGTCCTTGGGGTAACACAGGCCTAAAGTCCCACGGGTACTCAACCCAGTACAGGCACTTGGGGTACTTCCCCAAGTCCGGGGGCAAAAAGGTATAGTCTCCCTTAGTCCACAGACCTAAGGGGTCTCTTAGGCATAATTTAGACCCACCCCTCAATAAGTCTCCCACACCAGTCAAAAAGGAGAACTTTATTGATTACAGGGGGTAGGGTAAACTAGGGTACAGGATAGAGCAATATCTAGAAATCCTAAAGAGCAAACAGTCTGGCTGTGGTAGCCTTTTGATTACGCATATGTGATACCTTCAGCTAAATATCTAATCAGATTGAGTAGCTTACTCACAAGCATCTTCCAAAGGCAGGTGAAGTTTCCCTTTGGAGGCAGGCGGTTCCTAGCTCGTGAGTTTGGGGGGAGAGAGCCAGTTTCAGATGTTAAGGCTTCTCTGTCCCCTGCCTGGCTGCTGCGTCACCTCATGGCCGGAGAGGAGAGACCGCCTCCTTCCCCGTCCTAACTTATATAGCCCCTGTGACCTCATTCACCTGGGCCAGCGGAGGTCAGCCCCAGTTGGCTGTCAGCCAACCAATCTGAAATGCATCACCTGTTACCGGGCAGATTCCAGCTCCCCAGGTAGAAACCCCTTACCCAGGTAAGTGATGCAAGTCACATAAGCAGAGGGAGCAGGTTTCCCCCTCCCTCAGGAATGCAGCCAGCTCCAGTTCCCTAAAGAGACAGGCTGAGGGTGTGGTCCCCTGTGTGCTGGGCTCATCCTAATTGAATGGTCACAGCACAGAGATTTAAATCACAGTGTCACAGGGCAGAGATTTTTGGGGAGAAACCAAGGTGGCTTTCTGCCACAAGCTTAACCTGGAAAATATTAATTCAGTAGCTAAGGAAAGATTACCCCTAACCCTCACAGAAGAGGAGGTTGTATAGTGAAGCCATTAGGAGCCCTAAACCAGCTGCTTTAGAGAATACTCTCTCTTAAGCTCACTTTTCAGTTTCACTTTTGCCTAGCAAAACCAGGCATCCTATCAAACAAGTATTTGCAGTTTTGGGCTCCACATTTTAAAAAGAACATGGAACAGTTAAGAGAGGGTCCAGAGGTGGGCAACAAAAACAATAAAAAGCTTGGAAACAAAGTCAAATTGAGCTAAGGCTGAAGGAGCTAGGCACGGTTCGCCTTGTAGAAAAGGTGTGCTCAAGAGGGGAGATGATAGATAGCAATCTTCAAATATTTGAAGGAATGCCATAAGGGGTGAAAACCTCTTCTTGCTGCAGAGGGGAGTACATGGACCAATGGCTTGAAGTTGCAGCAAGGTATATTTAGATTGGCTATGAGGAAAACTTCTTCGTTCCCAAAACAGTGAGGCAGTGGATAGATTAGCTAGGGAAGTTGTGAACTTGCCATCACTGGAAGTGTTTAGGAAGATGTTGGACAAGCACTGGTCTTGGGTGATGTAGGTCTCCTGCTATGCCTGTGTCCTACTATGCTTACCCCTTCTTCTGAGGTTTGGTTGCTGCACGGGGCTGGAAGGAAATTCAGTCCCTCTCCCCCTACTGTGTCAGGTTTTTAGCCTTCCTCAGGCATTGGATATTGGCTGCAGCCAAGGCTGAGGATTTTGACTGGGATGTGCTAGTGTTTCTTGTGGGACTTGCTCCCAAAAGTTTGTGGCTAGAGGGTCTTGCACCACTGCTCAGGGTCAGACTGAATGTCATATTTAGAGTCCGGAAGGAATTTTAACCCATGGTCAGATTAGTATGGACTGTGTGGAGGAGCAGGGGGGTTGCCTTCCTCTGTATCAGTGGGGTATGGCATTCTTCCTGGGGTCTCTTAAGTATATGTTAACAACCTTTTACTGAAGTAGGATGTTGGCTGCTGTGGTCCCTCTGCTTTACCTGTGTCAGGCTAGGGTGTTATGTCTTGTGTCAGGGTTGACTGTGCAGTTTTGCTAAAGAGGTTAGACAATAGTCAACTTATGGCTGTTATTCCTTGTTATTCTCGGTAGTGCTCGGGGGAACAGGGACTCTCCCATAACCTGCTGGTCCCCCCCGGCCAGTTTGTAGGTGGCCACCAGATCTTCTCTCAGCCTTCTTGTGTGGAGGCTGAAAAGGTTCAGGTCCCGTAGCCTCTGCTCATAGGGCTTGCTCTGCTGCCCCCTGATCATGTGAGTGGCCCTCCTCTGGACCCTCTTGGTGCTGGCCCCATTCCTCCTGAACTGTGGCACCCAGAACTGGACACTACTCCAACTGCAGCCTGTCCAGTGCCGCATAGAGGGGGAGGATCACCTCCTTGGACCTGCTTATGATGCATCTGTGGATGCGTGACAAGGTGCAGTTGGCCTTCCTGACTGCATCCCCACATTGGTGGCCCATGTTCGTTTTGGAATCAATAATGACTCCAAGATCCTTTTCTGTCTCTGTGCTGACAAGAACGGAGTTTTCCAGCCTGTAGGTATACTGCTGGTTCTTCCTCCCCAGGTGCAATACCTTGTACTTGTCAGTATTGAAACCCATCCTATTCTCATCTGCCTACCCCTGTAACCTGTCCAGATCTAGTTGCAGCCTGTCCCTCTCCACCAGCGTGCCCACTTCTCCCCACATCTTAGTGTCATCCGTGAATTTGAACAAGGTGCTTTTCAACCCCTTGTCCAAGTCGCTGGTGAATATGTTGAACAGTGCTGGCCTGAGGACCGAGCCCTGGGGGACCCCACTGCCCGCATCCCTCCAGGTCGAAAATGACCCATCCAACACCACTCCTCTCTGGGTGTGGCTCTTCAGCCAATTTGCGACCCATCTGACTGTGTAGGCATCAATGCCACAGTCGCCTAATTTTTTAATGAGAGTGGGGTGAGATACAGTGTCGAAGGCCTTTCTAAAGTCCAGAAAGGCTATGTCCACTGTGACACCTGCATCCAAGGATTTTGTGACCTGGTTGTACAAGGCCACCAGGTTGGTCTGACAGGATCTGCCTCGAATGAACCCATGTTGGTTGCCCCTAAGCATGATCTCCCCTGCTGGTCTCTTGCAGATGTGCTCCTGGATAATTTTTCAAAGAGCTTCCTCAGGACCAATGCTTTTTGAGTATCAGTTGATCAGGAAAGCAGTGCCCTTTGAAGTGGAAGTCATAGTTAACTGGCCTGTCCTTAATTTTGAAATCTACTGTGAATTAAGTGGGTTAAAATCTGCTTCAATGTGAATAATCTGAGCTCTACTATACTACTGTTTTTAATTGCTTCAGCTATTCTTCACAAGAATGTCATTTAGCCAGCAGAATTTAATTGTTCAGACTGACCACAAGAAGTACTAGTATAAGAGAAATTATTGCAAGATACAAATATATGCATCTTTGACCAGTTTTGTCTAAGCTACATGCAACAATTAGCATGGAGATGGGTAACAATTAGTATGGACAAGTGATTGAAAATCATTTAAATTGTGTCCTTGGCAGCTATCTCTGTTCCTGATGCTCTCATGTTACTTTCTAATGCATCTGTTTTACAGTAGACTTAATAGGAAACAGAATTTTCACTGCCAACAGGGAGTCTTATCAGTAGTCTCTTACCTCCCTTGGTAGTTTTCACAAGGGCATAGCACATCCCAATCATTGTTTTGTGAGGGGGGAAAAGGGAATTCTTTTTTGTCCCCTCTACTGCCTCAAAATCTTCTGTTATTACCAGTGTGCGCACATCACTGTGGCAAATGACACCTGTTAACCACCCACTCGGTGATTTCTTCATCTCTTGCAAATATTAAAATTGTGTGAAACGTTCAACACATTATACAATTGTGTACACTTTTTTTCTTGAGAGGCACATGTTGTTTTTCTTGCATACAATAGTGCCCTCTTCCCCTCTCCCTAATAAAATGCGCATCTTATTTTTTGGAAGGCAGAACTCTGGAAAAGAAATCTTTTTTTCTGAGTCACAACTGACAGTTGAGAGAAAGTAAGTCTTCCTGGGAACATAGAGTGTCTGAAAAGTGTGGCATGAGGAAGTTCCTGGCACTTGCTGGTTCACCCAAACTGTCTCCTAGGATGCCACACTTCCTGGACACTGTCACAAGATTAGGTCCCTGACTTGCAGGAGCAATAGCAAGGTTGTTGATTCTTGTCAATAAGTAATTCTTCATATACCATGTTTACTCAAATGCAAGACGAGGCGTGGCAAAAAAAGCCCTTCATCTTATCACATATAAGGACATCACACAATAAATTGTCTGTCATTGAACTGCTGTCAAAAGCAGCATGTGCTCAGCACTGCAAACCAGCTATGAAGCTCGTTTAAATGCAGCCAACACTGAGCATGACTGCAAAACACATAGGTTGCCATCAGCATGTTTGTCCAATGTGGGCTATCACAAAAATAGATTAGTGCAGCTCATCTGGATAAGACGTATGGTAGGGTCCATTAAGCGCAGTCCCCTTCACTGATGAGTCTTTTTCAAGTCATGGTGAGCCACCACATTGAAGATATTTTGACTTCCCCATTAATCCCACAAACTGTAATCATGGCTTGTGCAGTTATTAAAAATCTGCACAATCTTAGCTTCAATCTGATATTTTTATAAACATCTGGTAAATTGACAAGTTACTGAATCATAAGTGTTATAATTAAATATGCTGTATTCAAGGCCTTTTAGGTAATATTTTGATTCCTAATCTATTATCTATGTAATAGAATTTGATTTACCTGGAGAAGAAAAGCTCTAGCATCCTATTAGTAAAAGTAAACAGGAATGTGAGTCTTGGGTCCTGCCATACAATACACTTAAGACATGATTGATCAGTTAATCATGTCTTAAGCTGTAACCTGGCCCCACATTAAATAAATGAATGATGTCATAAAATGAGGAAGAAGCCACAAACTTATTCCACAAAAAATGTGTAATAATTTTGTTGTTGGTTCCTCTGATGCCATTAATTGAACATGTGGCTATGTACACACGGTGGCTATAAACCCCATTAGCTGATTTATCTTTCCTTTAACTTTAATTTTAAATGTCTGTGTTTTCAAAAGTAGAGTTTACAGATGGAAGTTGCCACATGGTGCCTGTTCCCTTATACTAATAGCTGATCTTTATCCACATTTTCCATCTCCCAGCAGATGAAAATTTTATTTGATTGTGATTTAACTGGACTATCATTTGTTATTTCTTTAGTATGGACTGGAAAGAATTATGGGAGAAGAAAGGAGCCTGTCACTGCTGACCAAAGCAATTGACCCCAAGCAAACTAACATGATGACTGATGTTGTTAAACTCTTATCTGCAATATGTATTGTTGGAGAGGAAAACATGTAAGTGATATTAAATTGGAATTAGTAACATTAGTTTTCTCATGTACAAGCTAGAATTGTGTTTAGATTGTTATCTCTTTTAAGTGTAAAGTCAAAACCTTTTGTTTTTAGATGATCTTAATTTATGATTTTAATACTTAGAGCAGAAGTAAATATTTTCATCAGTTTTCCTGTTTTTAAAAGCCTTCCAATAATGTACTAAGTTAGTTTAAATAACAGTTATAATGTATTTTTTTTTATATCTGGCAGATATGCAGTAATAATGCTTAAATGTTGCCAAAACTAGATTAAAATTGCCTCGGTGTTTTTTTTTTGAATGTTGTGGTAAGGTATGCACCCTAAGCAAGTTCACACATGACACCAAGCTTCGGGGAGTAGTAGATGCACTGGAGGGTAGGGCTGGGATTCAGAGTGACATAGACAAATTGGAGGATTGGGCCAAAAGGGATCTCATGAAGTTCAACAAAGACAAGTGACAAGTCCTGCATTAGGACAGAAGAATCTTGTCTTGCACCAGTACAAGCTGAGGACCAACTGGCTAAGCAGCAGCTCTGCAGAAAAGGACCTGGGGGTTACAGTGAACAATAAGCTGCGTATGAGTCAACAGTGTGCCTTGGTTGCATACTGGTCTGCATTAGTAGCAGTGTTGCCAGCAGATCATGGGAAGTAATTATTCCCCTCTATTCTGCAGTGGTGAAGCTACATCTGGAGTACTGTGTTTAGTTTTGGGCCTCCCACTACACAAGATGTGGACAAGTTGGTGAGAGTCCAGCAACGAAATTAGGCACATGACTTCTGAAGAGAGGCTGAGGGAACTGGGCTTATTTAGTTTGGTGAAGAGAAGACTGAAGGGGGATTTGATAGCAGCCTTTAACTACATGAAGGGTGGTTCAAAAGAGGATGGAGCTAGAGTGTTGTCAGTGGTGGCAGATGACAAAACAAGGAGCAATGGTTTCAAGTTGCAGCAAGGGAGGTTTAGATTGGACCTTAGGAAGAACTTTCTTTCTTGAAGGGTGGTGAAGCACTGGAACAGGTTACTTAGGAAGGTGGTAGAATCTCCTCCATCATTGGAGGTTTTTAAGTCCTGCCTTGACAAAGCCCTGGCTGGAATGATCTTGTTGGGGGTGGTCCTATTTTGAGGGGGTTGGCCTAGATGACTTCTTGTGGTCCCTTCCAACCCTAACTTACTATGGTCGTATGATTTTCTATGATATATGGAACAGAGATGCACACTGTTTTCAGTATTGTTTTGTGGTGGAAAATATTTTCTGTTAGTAGAAAAAAGCCCAATTTTGACTTAAAGCATTCATTAGTAAGAACTCATAAATAAATAATTAATATACTTTCATAAATTTCTGATACTATTACTTAATTTTCAAAACCTTTTTTTAGCTGTGCAATTCATGTCTCTTAAGTGGAACTATCTGTTAACTTCCTGTAGCCTCGAAAAAATTTTAGATGCTGTAACAGCAGCAGCAGAAGAAAAGAATCTTGAGAGATTCTCTCCCATTGTAGAAGGCCTCCGGGATAACTCCGTTCAGCTGCAAGTAAGTATATGTTTTGTGCAGAGAATTTCTTCATCAGACAAAAATAAGAATGAAGCATTATTCTTTAGAATAAAATGGGGGTCTTTCAAAATTAGGTAAGATTGAAGTCATTTCTCAGTTGCAAGGTTTATTGCAGAGCCAGTTTTACCAGATGCATAAGTCTCGAACACTTCATTTATGTCCATGTTGATTTTTCCATTTACCTTAAATGAGTGTAGAATACATAACACATTTTGTACTCTAACTCCCCTGTATGAATTTTAGCCATTCATTTATGAGACCATATTAAGGCTAAAGAATTAGAAACAAAACTGCTATTAAAAAAACAAAAAAAAGAAAGAACTTGTTTTCTTAGTAGTGAGCTTGGATAAGCAAATAATCTAGCCCTGATAGTTGTTTGGCTATAAAATCACATGTTTAGGATAATTGGCTGAAAAAATCTTCACTCATTTATAAGCTGCTTGAACAGAACATGCAACTTTACTGGAGCATCATCATTTGTCATTATTAGTACATTCTGAACATCCTAAAAATAATGATAGTAGAGGGGATAAACATTAACTTTGTGTTTTTGTTTTTGTATAATTAAGTAGTTACTCTTAGATATTTGAATTACGTGTTTGTCATAAACAAGGCATAGTGACTCTGAATGGCAGGGGACAATGACTACAGATTAATAGATTTTAAGGCTTGCAGGCCTTGTTATGAACCCACAGTTCTATTTTCCTTTATAATATGGACTGTAGTATCACATTCATTTAATTTTTTCATTAAGAATCTAATTTCTGTTTCTAATTTCTTTAAAGAAGCTGTGGATGCTTTAGAGCAGTGGTTCTCAACCTTTTTGGACTTGAGCTCCCCCCACCTCCCATTCCCAACCTACAGCCCTTGGCCCTGCTAGTTCCTCTCACTCCTGACCCACTGCCCCCTACCTCCAGCCCCACAGGCTGCCTGTGCTGTCACTACCCCATCTCTCCTCCAGGAGGAGGTGAAGCCATCGCAGCCCCCCGGTCTGTTACGTTGCACTGCTGAAGGTGTGGCTGGTGCAGGGGTCCTGGTGGCAGCAACACATTTCATTGCTCCACTTGGCCTTCCTGTGCCAGTTCCCACCTATTGGGCCTTGGAGGCAGTTCCTTTCAGGCCAGTTTGAAGCCCCATACCTTGCCCATGCACTCCCTTCCTGCCCTTCCTGCTTCGCCCATGCTAACCCCCCTATAGATTTACCTGTGAGAAGCTACAGGAACAGCAGGTCACGGATGGTATCCAGGCAAGAGTAGAGCATGGTGCCACAGTAGGCGGCACTCCATGAGAAGGTGTACTCAAGCTTGCTGGGCTGCTGTGCCAACAGCACGGTGCAGTGCCTGTGCCTGCAGCTTACGCAGCGCTGGGCTCTGCCAGCAGATGCCCAACACAAAGAGTGCCTGGCTCGAGACCCCCCCACTCCTAGCAGCAGTGGGCGCCTGAGCACCACTTTCCCTTCTTGTCCTTCAGGCATAGACCCCCTGAAACCCATTTGTGGCTCCTGCTGTTTTAAAGGGGGTTAAGGGAACAGGGTATACCTAGAGCAGTGGTTCTCAACTGATTTAGACTCAAGGCATTCCTCTGTAACTTCAAAATGTAACAGCAGCAGCCCACTTAACTCATTTACTTTTTTACAGTGCCTACCTTCTCTCACCCTGTGGCCCTTTTTAAAAGGGTCTCATAGGGTGGCAGGGTGAGCAGCAGTATACAAAGCACCTATGTTACTGTGGCTGATGTTAGTATGTGTTGCTTGGTGGTGGCAGGAACTGCTTGGCAGAGTATACTAGGGAGCTTGTGGGTGATTCTTTAGATGCCTGAAACTGGCAATTGTCCCTGCAGGAGAAGGTTGGGGGAGACACTGGCCAATGCAGTTGCAGAGGCTGGTGCTATATGATGGCAGCAGGGCAGGACCCTACCTTAGCCCACTCTTTCTGCTAACTGTCCCCAGTCTGAAGGAGTGAGAATGGCCCTTGCAGCTGTGGCTGCTCCTTCTGGACTTGAATGCTAGTGACCAGAGCCATGATTCCTTTTAGTCCCTCCCACCAGCTCCAGGATTGTGGGAAGAGTGAGGCAATGAGCCAGGCTGAAAAAGGAAGGTCCTGTTTCTGTCCACATTCTCAAAAACAATCTGCTTAAGAAAGTTATGGGATCCTGCTTCACTGGAGATTTTCAAGAAGAGGCTGGAGAGGATCTCATCAGAGATTAGTCTACTAAAGTAGAGGATCCTGAATTTGTGTAGCAGGTTGGACTAGATGACCCTGAATGCACCTCCTAACCTTGTGGTTCTCAGGAGAGCTATAAACCTGATCAGGGGTTGGAGGGAAAAGCTTTACAATGCAAGGTTAAAGGAGCTCAGCTGAATTAGGTCATTAAAAAGAGATGTGAAAGGTGACCTGATAACTGTGTTTATATGTATTTTTGCATGGAATAAAAAGATCTGATAGTAACTTTAAAATCACATGGTTATTAGACATTAAATAGTTTATCCTGAGATGTTGTGGACTTGCCATTGTTTGGGGTAGTTAAGATCAGGTCTACTGGAGAAACACTATAGCTAGGTGTGGGGACCAATGATCATAAGGGATGACTGTGATGGGCTTTTCTGGTCTAGAAATCTAGACATGACCGCTTATTTTTCTGCGTGAGCCTCTGGAAGACTAGGATTACTTGTATTGTCCTCGGGAGGCTCATAACACTTGATGTTTGCATTGTGGCAGTGGTTTTAACATTATACATCAGGGTTTCGGCTAGTCATCTCCTGGAATTCTTTTTTCTGATACATATTTGGCCATTTTTTTTTTTTTTTTTTTTTTACA